CCCCCTCCGGGTGCTGGTCCCGGGCAGGGGGGGTTTCCTTGCCTGAAAACAGCCCGAGTAGTAAAACCAATGAGATCCGTTGTGTGCAGAGCTGCGGGGTCACGGGCCGTGTTTGTGTTGTGGGTTAAGTCCTGGTGCTTCGGGGAGATGTGTCCCAGAATCGGGAGCATCCTCTGCTCCTGGTGGAGTCTGGCAGCCCTCTGGGGCAGGAGGATGCGGGGGCACTGGGGTGGGCTTGGGCCATGGTGCTCCAGGCTCAGTGTCCAGCCTGGGCTGTGCCCATTGCCACGTCCCAGGCAGGGAGGTGGTTGGTGCCCTGGGTGATGGGGCTCAGGGAACCAGCTGAGCAGCCCCAGGACAGGCCCTGCTCCAGGTTTCCTGCCTGGCTGGGATGAGATGTTCTTTCTGGCTAGAAAACACAATGAAACAGGGGTGATTTTCTCTCTCTCTCTTGATTGCTGCAGCAAACTTGGTGTTGCACCAGACTGTGGAGCGCATCCACGTGGGCAAGAAGTATGGGGACATCCCACGAGGGATCTTTGTTGTGAGAGGAGAGAACGTTGTTCTGCTGGGGGAAATAGTAAGTAGGAGGCTCCTGCTGCCATCTGGGGCTGAGCTGGTGGAGATCCCTCCAGCATCCCAGCACTGATGAAGAGAAGTCCTAGTCTGCATGTGGCGTTACTGGGGGGTGTCACTGGTGTTTGCTGGGGGGCTGTGACCTCCCTGCTGGCTCAGGAGCAGGGAACACCATCCAGGATGGACTTGTGCCATCTTCCTTGCTGTTCATGTCAGCCCTTTGGGCTGAGCTCAGCCTGGCTGCTCCCCAGGAGCCCCCCTCCTATGGATGGCTGGCCTGGGGGTCCCTGCCCACATCCCCACCCATCATGGTGCCTACAGCACTTCTCTTTTGCATCAGTTCTGCCTTTCAGTGGGGCCTCTGGAAGATGTATAGGCACAGGCTCAATGTGGTCCAATTGAATCTGTGCACGTCCTGCCTGTGCCAATCTGTGACCTGGGGAGAGCCCAAGCCTTTAAGAGGATCAAGTCCCTGGGCTGCCTTCAAGCTGGTGAGCCCAGAGCTGGGAACCAGACCCTGCTGCTCACCTCAGGAACCATCCTGCTCCAGTGACTTTGCCAAGAGCTATGGAGCACGTCATCCACGGTGCAGCAGATGTCCCTGAGCACACTAGAGGTGTGTGTGTCAGTGTCCCAGTGGAGACATGAGTGTGGATCCACCCTGCACCCTTCCTGTCCCTGCTGGGTTTTGGCCCCTCCAGCCCAGCAGTGCCCTGGCCAGTGAGATGTGCTCAGCAGAGGTGATGCCAGCCCAGCCCTGAGCTGCCCCCCCTGGAGCGTCCCACGAGCAGAGCTGCACGTCCTCGCTGCCTCATGGTGCTAAAAGGGCTGTTTCTCTTGCAGGACCTGGAAAAGGAGAGTGATACACCTCTGCAGCAAGTCTCCATTGAGGAGATCCTGGAGGAGCAGCGGGTGGAACAGCAGGCCAAGCAGGAGTCAGAGAAGCTGAAGGTGCAGGCGCTGAAGGAGCGGGGCCTCTCCGTCCCACGGGCAGACACCCTGGACGAGTACTAGATGTGCTGCCCCTTGGATCCTCCCTCCACAGCAGAGCCAGGGCTGCTCTGTCACTGCCTGCACCTGGGCAGGTCTCTTTGGAAAAATAGTTTTTATTTTCAGATTGTGTTTGCTGTGGCACAGATAACTGTTTAAATGAAAATCATGCCTTTTGGTTCCTCCTCGCGGAGGAGGAGGAGAGAAGGTGTTTGGCTGCCCTGTGAGGTGGGCAGGTGTGCTGGGGAGCACGAAAGTTTGTGTTCAGGAGGCAAATCCGTGGTCCTTTGGGTTGGTTTGCGTTTTCCTCCTCACGTGACTCTGGGCAAGAGTTTTTCTTGACATGTAAATAAACCCTTCACCTCAACAATGGTGGCTTTGCCTGTGTTCCCGACCTGGCGCTTTCCCCTCTCTCGGGATGACCACCTTTGTGCCAGCCCTTGTCCTCACTGGGCTCAGGGGGTGAAAGGCACCCTTGGAAAAAAACAAAACCTTAAGGAGGTCGCAAGACTCCTCCCCACCTGCACCCTGACAAGGGCAGCTCCCCCAGCTGCAGCTGCTCCCCTGCAGCTCAGCCCACTCGTTACCTGCTGATGAAGAGTGGCTGCAGCTGGGCTGGCCACACCTGGGCCCGGCTGGGTCGTGTTGCCTTGGAGGAGCTGCAGCAGGCAGGGGAGTCCTTCGTGTCCCAGGCTGTTTGGAGTTTGTGGGGTGTTTGGGGTCTGTGTTGTGGCAGTGGCAGCAGTTGGGGTTATGTTTGGGTTGGCTTTGGACAGCTCCAGGCTGTGGGAGCCTCCTGTGCAGGCAGGAAGGAGCAAACCCCCAGGGGGAGCACAGGAGGGATCTCACTGCGAAACCTTCTCGGTTCGTTTCCCCACAAAGTGAAACGCTGCTGGGTGGGGGGAGGTTTGGGGGTGCAGTGGTGGGTTTGCTCTGCCCGAGGGGCTCGTTTGTTTGCAGGATGAGTCCTGCCCCACTGCCCAGTGCAGACACCAAGCACGAGGGGCTCCGGCTGCAGCTTTCCTGGGAAGCAGGCAGGGCTGCAAAATGCCTTTCCCTGTGCCCGCAGTGTGCTCCTGGGGAGAGGAAACATCTTCCCGGTGGTGTTTGCTCGTGTGGGATGTTGTGAGCTTGGTGCTAGAAGAGGCATAAACAAGGAAATGCAATTTCTTGCTTTAACAAAAGGGGAAAAAAAAAAGACTTTGCGGGGCCGGGGGGGCTCGAGCACCGGCAGGAAACGGCTCTTTCTGTTTCCTTGATCTGCCGCCCCCGTTGCGGGG